CTCTCAGTCATCATAATAGGATGCACTCGATTACATGCAACAATTCAAGGTCAATGCCAAATAAACACGAGATTCACCCACAAACCGACCATTTTGATCATGCATTTCTTGGAGCCAGAGTAGTCAAAATCCCGATTTAAATCCACGCTTTTACGATTTTGCTTACTTATTCCGATTCTGATTTCACTATAAAACCTAAGGACCTTAAAATCTTACGATTTTACTGTTCAAATCTTTGAGTCAATTTTACTTGTTTTTTTTCCTAGAATTTGCAATATTACGCCTCTTTTTCTTCTCCTCCACCAACATCATCTAGTTCTCTCACACTAACCACCATCGACTATAATCAATTAACATCAACGTATTAATCATAATCGATTCGCCACCTCTTAACATTAACCTTGATAAATTGAAACATTAACCTTGAAAAATTATCATTGTAAGTATTATGTGCTTTTGTGTTATTCATGATTTTACTTACTAATATTATTTCGTCTTCATACTTAAAATCCTATGATTTTACGATTCTGATTTTTACCCTCATTTTCGAGTTACGTAAAATCCCGATTTTAACTGCTTTGCTTGGAGCCCTCAAATTTTTCAAATTTAGGCATACATAAAGACTCTAAGCACTCAACACACAAGCATAATAATAAACTACCCCCACACTTAAACTTGACATTGCCCTCAATAGCGTTAAATAGGGGGTAGAACGATTTTACCTCATGGCTTGGTGAATGAAAGTTGGACAATTTCCTGGGGTAGGAGGTTTGAGCTTCAAAGAGAAGACAAAACAAAATACAAACACAAGCACATTTTCGCTCGAGGCGAGGTTATTATACATAACAATAGTCGGCATCACGATTCAAAGAAAGAAAAACTCACAAAGTATTAGATCACACACTAAAGAAAAAAAATAAAAATAAAAAGAGTTCAGAGTTTCAAGTGGAGAAGTGGGGCGAAAGAAATCGGCTCTGCCACATGTCTTACTCGTCGGCTACCTCTCGCGAGTTGAAAGTCACTGCTCATCGTACGAAAAGATACCCTGGCGTCGAGCAATCCTCTCTAGGATCATACGAAAAGACACCTGGATGGTGACTCTGACAAACTACTCCTTGTGGCCATCCACACGCTTCTCGAGGTAGGCTCTGGAGGAGGAAGGACTCGTTCCGAATGATGATGCTACTGATGGTGGTGGTGCGGTACGCTAGCGGCGGCCTAGAGCTCGGGTAGGCGGCTGCTCGGGCGGGGGGACCTCTGGATCCGGCTCCACTGGAGCAGTGTCCACCTGTGGCCTCAGAGCGGCCGAAGGTCTAAGTCCCTCGAGGTAGGGATGGCAATTTACCCACCCATTGGTAATTTTGCCCAAACCCAAGTAGACCCATTTATTATGGGTAGGGTTTGGGTGATTTGTGCATGGGTTTGGGGTTTGTATATGAGCTTGGGTTAGATATGGATATTATCTAAATGGGTATGGGTTTGATATGGATATCCATTTACTTGAGGGTGTTTTAACTACACATACAAAAATTGGACCTATTTGTAAAACTTGAAAAGTTTAGGCACCAAAATGTGAGACAAACAAATTTTAGGTACTAAAATGTATTTTTTTCATCGATATTTTGAGGACTTATATGCAAAAAAATTAATTTAGGTAATAAATATGCATAACTATTAAGTTTAGGTACCAAACTGTAATTTACATTTGGGTATGTGTACAAACCCAAATCCATATGTTAAAAACCCAACCCAAGTAAATGGGTATGGGTACAAACCCATCAAACTCTACCCATCTAACATCTATTTGGATTCCATACCCAACCCAATTGGGTTGGATAGTAAAATACCCATGGGTATGGGTAATATTGCCATCCCTACCTTGAGGTACTCAATCTCTCGCTCTCCCTGGAGCACCAGCTTCACGTTGTAGAGTGTCTCCACCGATAATGGCTCGGTCCGGCCGATGATGAAGCATCTCATCACATCAACCCCTAAGTGTCAGGCGAGCCTCATGATGAGGGAGGACTTGTGTGGGGATTACAGGTGAGGTTAGATGTTGGAGGTAGCGAGTTGCGATGGTAGAAGGCATGGGGTCAAAGGCAGGGGATGGACGTTAGTTGAAGGTGGTAGAGGTCAAGAGAGGAAAAGATGGTGGCCGGAATAGGGGTGTTCAAATGGTTACCATGGTTATAACCAAACCAAATAAGGCTAAATTCCATTAAGCATGGAATACAATATCATAACCAAACCGTCCAAACTAATACAACAACCAAATTAACCAAACTAAAGTTTAATTGATTTGGTTAATTGGTTAACCAAATTAACCAATATAAAATCACATTATCATTGACGATGAAAATTTTCCGGTTATTGCATTAATTCGCAATTTATATAATGAATAAAACATAACAATCAACACGTAGTTATAGTTGACCCTTAATAAAAATACATGCAACTAAGATAATTGCAACTAAGACAATTATCTTACAATTAGTATAGAAGTATTCACCTCACAAAAATTATGACAATGGTATGGGTTAATGAATTGTTGTGTTTGTGTAAATTGACTTAGTCTCTTAGCAATTATCATAGGCTGGAAATGACCTTCCTTTCAAGTTTTCATTCATCATAATGTATGAAATTTATCTAAATTAGGCGTCCATATGTTGTGGTCTAGACTTTACATATACAAATATACAATATATGAGCAATATTGAGCTTTATATTTTATGAGTCTAAAAGGGATGAACGTTAACTCTTGAGTGGTTATGCAAAGTATTATGTGTATATAATATATGTTAGATATATGAGTAATTACTTAACTGGTTAATTTGGTTTGACTGGTTAGGAGTGTCTGAAACCAAACCAAACCACCTAAACCAAACAAGCTAAAAACTTTAACCAAACCAAACCAATTATCCAAATTAACCAAACCAAATTATCCAAAGGTACCGGTTAAAACGGTTACCACGATAACTAAACCGTTTGAACACTCGTAGGCCGGAAGAGGAATGAGTCATGATAGGGAGAACAATTTTTCGGAACTTATAGCATTTTTATTTATTCTGTTCTTAATTAATTTTTTCCAATTTCATATTTCCTATTTTATTTTTCAAGTTTTATAATTTTATAATAAATAATGATGTCACCTCAGCATTGTATACTAAGTAACATACTGAATAAATATTTGGCCGTTAATATTAAATGCAACACAAATTTTGACAAAATCTGTCCATTTCTTTAAAAAAAATGGCCAAAATTATATTATTTGAAAATTCGAGTCAAAATTTTAATTTCCATCAAACTTCAGTCCAAACTAGATATTATTCTTATTTTTAATATATATATATATATATATTTTGGAGCACTTCTACTATGCTATATACTATTGGTGCTTTAAAGTACAACTTAAATGTATAAGTTTAGGTTGTATCATAAAGCAATTTGTACCATTATGTTATGGTACAACTTTACAACTTGAAGTTGTACCATCACATAAAGGTAGACGTTCAAGTTGTACTATAAAAGAATTTGTACAAAAAGTATAGTTACAATCTGAAGTTGTACCATAACGTAAATGTATAATTTTAAGTTGTACGATAAAGGCAAAACCCTATAGCACCAATACTAGGGGTCGGTTAGCATGCTAACCCCCTTAGGGGTTGGAAAAATGGCACCCCCTAGTATATTAAATACAACTATAGAATTTAATACACACATTAAATACACATTAGAAATTAAATGTACCATATTAATTAGGAATTCTCTCACTATTAAATACACATTAGGAATTAAATACACACATTAAATACACATTAGGAATTCTCTCACTATATTTAATTTTTCCCTTTTCAGCAGTCTCCGACCACCAGACTTCCTCCGACCGCCACACTTCTCCGGTGAAAATCCCATCGGCAGACTCCCTCCGACCACCTCCAAAAAATATACCACTGCACTGATACGGTGTACCACTGTACTGGTAGATATACCGCTGCACTGATACGTTGTACCACTGTACTGGTAGATATACCACTGCACTAGTAGCGATATCAGTGCACTGGTAGCAATGTCATATCTGAGTATCAGTGCAGTGGTACAAATACCAGTAAAGTGGTAATTAATGTGGTGTATTTAATGCTTACTTTGTATTTAATAACAGAACATTTATTATGTTTACTTTCATTAATACTTGTCAATAATTAATGAAAAATTGACCAATTAAAAGGGGGTGTAAAAAAACCAACCCCTTAAGGGGTTAGCATGCTAACCCGTCCCCCAATACTATATAGTATTGTAAAATTTCCCATTTTTTTCGTGATACTCTTTAATGTCTCTCCCAGGTAAGCCGGGTTGTTAACTCCATCAATTATGAATTATGATGAACATAGTCTTTTATTGCAATCATTCCTCTACGAATTTCCCATGAGCAAGTCATTTATATTTAATGGGTAATACTTTAGCCAAATTCTACATCAACAAAGGTAATATTTTGAACGGAAAAAATTCTAAATGTTACAATAACCATAATTATCGATATCAATCGCACGTATATTAAAAAAAAAAGCCACGTTATAACCTCCGCTCTTTGCATTATTGAATTTCTTATCACTACATGGTTAATCCAAACCAAATTCTAAACTGCGATCCATCAGATGTCTTTGTGAGAGATCTTTGACATGGAATCCTTCGTCGCTAGAATCCAGATTTTCATCTTTCTTCTTCTCTCTCTTTTCAATTTCTACATGTGTCTCTTGCAGTTCAAATTCCGGGTCAACATAGTTGTTTCAAAATTTTTCCTTCTTAATTTTGGAAACAATGTCTCAAGGTTATTGATACCCTTATTTACTAGCCATGTTAGCTACCCACTCACCAAGTTGGCTGCCAACTTTAGTTGCATCCATTCTTGACTAAATACAATCACTCTGCACTACACTCCAAGCAGGCTTTCTCAAACCCATCTTGCTATATATCTCCACTGTCCAACCCATCTTCCCCCACCGCACTCTCTTCCAACCCAAGAAACCTCAGAAAAAAGAAGAAAACCAAACCATGGCACTTGTCGTTAATGTCGCCTTCCTGCAGCTACAGATTCTCGCGGGTTTGTTGATCATCAACATTTTCTCCTTCTCCCCTACAAGCTTGGTCGCCAGCCAGCCTGCCCTGACATTGGACTACTACTCCAAAACCTGCCCGACTGTGTTTGAGGTCGTCAGGAAAGAGATGGAATGCGCCGTGCTGTCCGATCCTCGTAATGCAGCTAAGATCGTCAGGCTGCACTTCCACGACTGCTTCGTTCAGGTGATTCGAATTAAGCTACCCACATATGTCAGTTGATTTTACGTACATCTTAAATTCTCAATCAATACATGTGTCAACTTGTGGTCTTTCAGGGGTGTGACGGGTCGGTTTTGCTCGATGATACGATTACCTTGCAAGGGGAGAAAACCGCCACTCCGAACGTGGATTCACTCAAAGGGTTCGAAATCATTGACAGTATTAAGAACAAGGTCGAATCTGATTGCCCTGGCGTTGTTTCCTGTGCTGATATCCTCGCCATTGCTGCCAGAGATTCTACCGTTCTGGTATATATTCGTGTCACTTTTTTTTTCACTTTGTTCAAACACTACTATGGCAAATAATGTTCCATGGTGATCGATTTCCCTTGGCTGGCTGGCAGGTTGGTGGACCTGACTGGGAGATGTATTTAGGGAGGAAAGATTCTAAAACTGCGAGCTATGAGCTTGCTAACTCCAACCTCCCAGTTCCATCAGAGGGCATTCTGCCAATCATCACCAAATTCCTTTACCAAGGGCTCTCTGTTACCGATATGGTGGCCCTCTCAGGTAATAACCTATATATCTCTGTTTTCAGAATTGGGTCGGAGGCTGAACCAGAAAAGTTAGTGGTTTAGCGTTTAGCGGTTAACCGTTATAAAACCGTTGATAGAACCGTTTATGATATATAACTTGTTATAAAATTATCATTGACCATAAACAAATTCAAATTCATATCATCGCCAAAATATCTAATAAATCATTCCATCCATCTCACAAAAGAAACCACATTTTTTTAATTCAAATTAAAAATTCAGCTCCAGTCGGTACTCGATAGTAGACAACGTAAAGTCGACCAATGTTCTAGTTAAATCATTTTTTTTGTTTGTTTGTTAAAATAGTGAATCAGTGGACCAGTTAAACCGTGTCGGTTCATCTGATTTTATGTTGAACCGTGGAAAACCGTTTGGTCTATCAATAACCGTCCAAACACTAAATCAGACCGCTATCGTAACTGTTTTGACGGTCCTACTTGCCCAACCGTTGATCCGTTTCGGTTGTTATAACAAATGAATTCTGATAACAACAATTGCATAATATTTGGTGCATTATAATGAATACAGGGTCGCACACGATCGGGGTGGCGCGGTGCCAGAACTACAGGGCAAGGATCTACGGTGACTACGCGGTAACCGCCGATCAATCCACGGCCTCCGAGTCCTACCTCAACGACCTGCGAGCCTCCTGCCCCGCGGCCGGAGGAGACGACGACACGGTTGCTCCCATGGACAACGTTACGCCCAACTTGTTCGACAATTCGTATTATCAAATCCTGTTGAGAGGGGAAGGGTTGTTGAATTCCGACCAGGAGATGTACTCCAGCTTCCTCGGTGTCCAGACCAAGCAGCTCGTCCTTCAGTACGCACACGACCCGCTCGCTTTCTTCCATCAGTTCGCGCAGTCGATGGTCGCGATGGGCAACATTACCAACGCCGTCGATGGCGGCGAGGTCAGGAGGAGCTGCAGATTTGTGAATACTTGAAACCAGAGAAGAGAAGAAAAAAAAGGAAAGGGGGGGATTTGATTATTATTGGTTTATTTGCCGAGAGTATAATATAGCTAGCTAGACTGTTGAACATCGTTATTGAAAACTGGTTTCGGAGGGGAAATTTCATTTGATGTGCTGATTTTCGTTGATGTTGGTTATATATGGTGTTAAATTTATTTGGCAGTGTGACCAACAAGTGGGAGCTACTAGTATCACATGTACGAATCATGTATAATCAATTTATATAATGTATGTGAGTTGTGAAGTCATTTTGCTGGAAATTATTGGGATGACTATCTTGTGTTCAGCGGGAATTCTGCCGTACACTATTAATCGGTAATTGGGTTGCTTGTTTTCTAATTTTTTATTTTTATTTCCGGCTATGCTTTAACAATGACAAATATTAAATGGTAATGTCTATTTTTAATTCAAACTTTTTTCACATTCTTTTATATTATCTAAACTTATCGAAATATTAAGAATTAGCCAAATGTTAATTTTTCAGTTAGCAATTTTGTTAGTACTATTGACTTGACAACATGATACTGACTTGAAAGAGACACGTGAATGTTAACATTTCAAAATTTTAGTATTTTAGTTAAGAAAAAAGTTACAAAATTATTAACGATAACGTAAAAATGACTAATATTTTAATGCATTACAAAATATTTGGCACATTAATAGCATTTTAATAGGTTTGATTAAAATAAAAAAATCTAAAAAATATTTGGATAGAAAATAAACATTACCCAATATTAAATTATCTTTCTCCTGCTCATGTGATTGACATTCTAGCTTTTGCTTCAACTTTTTTGGTAATTTAAATTATAGTTACTAATACATTGAATGTGTATGTTACATTTTTTTTTTCAAAGATATTCCCAAAAGGGACCAGTTAGATACGAATTGGAAGTCTTTTCAAGCAACCATAATAATACAAATAAGAGAAAGAGATTACGGTCGACAAATAGTCGAACCATCGATAAGAGAGAGCCTTTTTTGCCACACAATGGATATCTTTTTATACATATAGGACATGGGCAATATCCATGACTTCTATCCTATAAAGGGGAAATCATGGAACTAACCAAGTGACTTTTTATTTAATTATCAGACATACCATTAATTTAAAGATGAAGTAAAATGCACATATATTTTTTTTATGTAACATACACATACAATATTTTAGTAACTATAATTTAAATCACAAACAAAATTGAAGAAAAAATTAGAACGTTAATGACATGAGCAGGAGAACGTGATATAATATTTCTAGCATAACCGGTAATAAGCAAAAAAAAAAAAAGAACAACCGGTCAAATGGTGACGGCACTGATCCCGTGCCGGCACATTAGAATTCCCCTCTTTATCAGATTTCAATTCGAGTTATAAAAAAAAAGTAGACTGAAGAGTTATGTATTTGTTCAGAGGGTTTTAGGGTGGGATTATGAACTGAGAGCCTTATGGGTTTCTCCTCTCCTATATATCACAGTGTATAGAGAAGGGCTAAAATCAGGTAATTAAAGGGTACCTTAATCAAATGACTAAGTGAATCTCAGCTTTTACACCTCATTAAAATTTAATGACTCAGATTAATCCAATTTAATGAAGGACAATGTATTTTTTTTTTTTGACAAAAGATAATCATATATTGATTCAAAAAAGATAGCTACATCCTGGATAACAGCCAGGCCTGAAAATTAAAAGCACGACTCATAGTCGGGTACAAGGAGAGGGCTTTCCTAGCCACCAAATGGGCTACCCTATTGTTACTCCGAACTACGAAACTAATACTAAAACCAGGGTTGCTGTCAAAAAGATTCACCACTTCCGCCAATACAACACCCATCCTGCTATCTCTTGTATCCACACGCCTGATTTTGTCAATGACTAATTTAGCATCCCCTTCAAACCTAACAGAGGCGAAGCTTGGGCCCAGACACCAGAGAATAGCCTCATGCGAAGCAAGCAGCTCCACTATCGCAGAATCATCTATGACAGGAAATTGGACCCCAGTAGCCCTCAGGACGACTCGAGAAGGGGTCATAAGTACTAGTCCACCAGCCGAATGCGATCCCCGTTTCGTCGCACCATCCCATCCACAGACAAACTCAAAAGACCCCACCGGATTAGACTCCTGGTGCCCTACCTCCGGGGTCCGGGGAATGCCCTCAACTGGGAGACACTCCCATTCCTCAAACTGCTGCGTATATTGCCGCATTAGAGCCGGAAGACCATACTGTTTGCCCTCAAACACCACCTAGTTGCGGGACGTACAAATCCGCCAGAGAACCGCAATAATGGCCATCCACAGCGACGACTGCTGAACTAAAGCCAACAGTTTCTTAAGGAACAGAGGAAACGTATGTCGTGGCAAACCCTCCCCAAGGTGTTCCAATCCCGCCGCCCCCCACAGGGCACGCGCTACCGGAAAATCCAAAAATAAATGCTCCAACGTTTCAGGGCCTTCCCAACAGACCGGGCACCGAGAAAGGACCGGGATATGACGACTAATGAGAGCTTCAATGGTAGGCAAGATCCGATTGAAGATCTGCCAAACAAACACCTTCAAGGCGGGATTTTAGCCTCCCACAGCCGTATCCAACTTGTCCTATCCATCCAATCCACTGTCGCCTTCCAACGGCCCCTCCATTTTTCCAAAGAGACAGCTAGATGGTACGCAGATTTGACCGAGAACTCCCCATCCGTTGTATCATGCCAAATGATCTTATCTGCCACATTACCCTGCGGGAGAGGTATGGCTTTTATGATACGGCACGTCACAGGGTCAAACCACTGATTAAGCTTTTGATCAAACCATCTCCCCCCCCCCCCCTTGACAAATTATTTCCGCCACCGGTGGATCACCACCATCCGGCAGAACCTGAGGATTATAACGCAGGGGTTCAAACTGGTACTCAGGGATCCAGGTAAAGTGAAGCATAGAAACCGATTGCCCCATTCCCAACGTGCCATCGTAAACCCATCTCTAAAAGCTGCCGGCCAAACAGGATACTCTGCCAACCCCACGAAGGCCTACACCGAGCCTTTGCGGTTAGAAAATGGCCATTAGGGAAATATTTACCTCAACAGACTTGAGCCAGCAGGGAGTGGGGTTCACTGAGGATACGTCGACCAATTTTAGCTAGGAGCGCCTGATTAAAATGCTCAAATCGGCGGAAACCCATCCCCCCATCATGCTTACTCCTACACATGTCCCGCCATGACATCCACCTCACTTCCGGGTGACCTTCATTCTCACCCCACCAAAACCGGGCAACATGCATGTCCAACAGGCGGCACAGGGTCAAAGAGAGCTTGAAGCAGGACATCACATGCAATGGCAATGCCAGAGCAATAGACTTGATGAGGGTTTCTTTGGCTGCCTACGAAAGTGTCCTCTGCTTCCACCCTTGGAGTCGTTCCAACAATTTGGCTTCCAAATAACGGAAAGTATCTATCTTCGATCTGGAAATCAGAGATGGGAGACCCAAATATTTATCATGGACTCCAACGCCCCCCACCCCCAAAATTGCCGCCAAGAACTCTTGATCTTGTTGAACTATATTCCAACTGAAGCAAACTGCTGATTTGGCCAGATTCACCCTCTGTCCACTCAATTCCTCATAATCATTCAGGACCTCAATAAGGTTTTCACATTCCTGAAGCGTGCCTCGCAGGAATAAATAGGAATCGTCTGCAAAAAATAAGTGCGACAATTTGGGGGCGCGAGGAGCCACTTTAATCCCGACCAATTTCTTTTCTGATATCGCCTTCCAGAGAAGCGCTGCAAACCCCTCAGTGCAAAGCACAAAAAGGAGAGGAGACAAAGGATCCCCCTGGCGCAATCCTCTGGAGGGAGAAAAGTAACCAGACGGGGTGTCATTCATCATAACATCAAAAGATGCGGAACTGAGGCACTCCCTGATCCATCCTACCCAAGTAGAGCTAAAACCCATTTTAACCAAAACCCCAAGAAGAAAAGGCCATTCGACTCTATCATAGGCCTTTTCCATGTCAACCTTTAGGGCCATGAACCCTTTCTTCCCCCGAGTTTTGGTTTTCAGGTAATGCATGAGCTCATGCCCGAGTAGGATATTGTCTACAATTTGACGCTCCCTGATAAAGCCATTATGACCTTCCGAGACCACATAAGGGAGGACAATGGCCAAGCCCTCTGCCAAAATTTTGGTTATAATTTTGTAAACAAATTGGCATAAACTGATGGGGCGCAACTGCCTCATTGTCTCCGCATTATAAACTATAGGAATTAATGTGAGTCAAGTGTGATTAAAACTGCGGAGCAGCCGGCCAGAAGTAAAGAAAAAGCAGACTGCGCCAATTACCGAGGGCCTACATTATTTTATTAATTTTCAATTTTAATTAATTAGAAAAAACCCTATGTGAGTAGGTGCTCGCCAATGCGCCTGTTACTGCTAGGAATAATTCCGGCAGACACTTTTATTCCTTTGTTGGGGAATTTCTGTCCAAGAGAGAGAGAGAGAAATGTTTCGGACGACGGAGGAGGATTTTCCGGCAGCTGTGCTAGGTTCGTGATGTTTGTCGACATATTTTGTAATTTTTATAAGTTCAATTTGTAATGTTTGTATCAATTGGGTTTGTACACTTTATCATTCTGGTTTGTTATTTATGTCTATTGTGTTTTTAGTGTTTATATGACTAATTTATATTTATTTTATGATTTATAATATTTGTTAGTCTCGTTTGTGTACTTTATGTTATGATTTGTATACTTTGTATTAATTGATTTGTAATACAATTTTACCGATTTGTATTGTAAGTAGTGTTTTTTTGTACTGTTTGTATGCTTTGTAATGTTTATCGGTTTATTTTGTAATGTTTGTCAATTTCTTTTGTAAGGTTTTTAGGCTTTGTTACTTTTGTCAACCATGTTTGTAATGTTTTTATTGGAAAAAACAACCTGGTTGACTTTTTTACGTAACTCCTCTATATAGAGATGGAGTCTCCAAAATCAGCCCGAGTGTTTTTTCTATTTTTTATGGTTTGTCAGTATAGTTTGTCATTTTTGTCAACCATTTTTGTAATATTTCTATGTCTAAAAAACAATCGGGTTGACTTTTGGACGATGCCCCTCTATATAGGGATGAAGCCTCCAAAGTTACCCTGGTTGTTTTTTCATTTTTTATATTTTGTATTGTTTGTCGGTTTACTTTGTATTGTTTGTATATTTCGTATGTTTGTATTGTTTGTGAATTTGTTTGTATGCTTTGT